GGGTGGTCCAACTTCAGTAAATAATTCGAATAATTTTAAAGCTATGATATTTGTTTTTTTAGAAATGATGGGATAAGCCCAAGAAAATCGAGTAAAATGATCTTTTATAATTAATATGTATCTAAATTCTTCATCAGGTAATGCTCTAAAATCAATTAAATCCATCTAAATTATAAATAATAATTCTATTAGTACATTCTATATAGCATACACTTAAAATACACTTTTTTTTAAAAAATGAATATATATACCTGCAAACGAGATAAAAAATTTTTAGCAATAATTGCTTTTCCAGCAACTTCACTACCAAACTTTCTATTTACGCGAACTGCACAAATAGAACATTTTTCACAAAAATATTGAACTAACTTTTTGTTAATATTACCCCACTTACTACGTAATTTATCATAAGTACCGGCTAACTTTTTATGGCTTACATCAAGATGGGCTGAACAAAATATTCTATACATATTTTCTCTTATAAGAACAGGCAATGAATGAATATTTTTGTTGATATTATTCGTAGCTTTTTCTTTTCTATCATTTAGTTTAACATGTACAATATGATCAGCTCCCACATTAATATTGCAAAAATGATTTCTTGCCTATTTTCTAAAATGCGTATCCTGGACTTGTTCACCAAGCAAAGCTTTCTTAATATCTTCGTACTCATCTTGACTAACCAAATATATATTACGTTGATTATGTTTCAAAGAAGCTTTATAAGTGGAAATAATTTCCTCAAAAGTTTCAATAGAAATAAAAGTGTTTGCCATTTGGTAGTAAATTTAAAATAATATTTTAGCAATATTTTAGCAAAAGAACTTTTTTTTTATGCATATATTTATAGAAAAACAAAAGTCATGAAAATCTAACACGAAATTAATAATAGAAGCTACACGAAATTCAACAATAATTCAACACGAAATACAATAAAAAAAAATACCACGATGAAATTGAATAAAAAAAAGCCACAAAATCTAACACGAAATTGAATAAAAAAAAGCCATAAAATTTAACACGAAATTCAATAAAAAAGAGCCACAAAATCTAACACGAAATTCAATAAAAAAGCCACGAAATCTAATAAAAACAAGTTAAAATCTAACATTAAATACAAAATAAAAAAAAAGAAACCATAAAATTCAACAATGATAAATAAACATAAAATAATAAAAATTTAATTGTCTGAAGTATATATGCCATCGTAATTCGAAAAAGGAAAATTTAATAATGGTGCATAATGCATATTGGTATAATTTTCTTTTTCGAATTACGATAAGTTCGAAGCGTTAGACCGTCTAATTATGCTTGTTTAAAATGTGTAACAATAGATGTGGTGTAATCCTTTAAAGTGTGGTGTACATTTTCTTAACACTTTGGATGTTCCAACGGTTCCTGTTGCCTAGTAAATAATATGTTTTAAGCTATGTTCTATCCAGAACATCCAGTGTGATCAATATTAATATTTGAGAATTTTTATTATTATCTGTTTATTAATCGGGTGATGTCCGCCTGCTCAATAATTGAGTCAATGCTGAGCCATTGCCAATAAAGTAAGTAAAAGTTATTTAAAAACAATAAACAATTAACCGTGAAAAAACAATGTCTCATAGGTTGTATAATATATTTTTAACATTACATGCAGATCTATGCAAATTATTATTTTAGTTAATTTATTAGGAAGTCCATGGCCGTTTCTACAAAAAAAAGAAGAAAAAGAACGTTAGTAACATTCTTTCTTAAAAGAAAACCTTACCACTCACCACATCATGTCGAAACCTACCTCCAAAGAGCCATTCCAAGATTATGGCCATTTCTACAAAAAAAGAAAAGGAAGAACATTAGTAACGTTCTTTCTAAAAAAAGAAAGCCACCCACCCACCACACCACACCCGAAATGTTTAATAACAAATCTGTTTATTTAAGCGTAAATTCAGATGGGTTTAGAGTGAATTATAAATCTTATATAAAAAATATAAAAATCCAAGGTTCCGGGAAGTCTATGGCCGTTTCTATAAAAAGAAAAAGGAAGAACGTTAGTAACGTTCTTTTTAAAAGAAAATCCACCCAACACCCGAAATCTACCTCCAAAAACTTCTTCAAGGGATCCAGGAAGTCTATGGCCGTTTCTACAAAAAAAGAAAGAAAAGAACGTTAATGAACGTTTTTAGAGAAATCCACCCTACTCACTCATCACCCAAACACCTACCGGTTTCATTTCCAAGGGATCCGGGAGTCCAGTCCATCTAGGAGAGTTGTTTATGCCTGATTAAATACCATTTTATATTTATACATTGCGCAAAAAAAATGGAATTCCATGAAATTCCAAAAACATCAAAAAAAAATAAGGGGACACGAATGAAGATGTTTATGCTAATGATTTTATTATATTAATCTAACTGATTCTAGCAATACAAAGTATTTTTTTACATTATCAAAATCTATAGATAGTAAATTACTTATTATTTGGTATTATAATTAATTATCTCCTATGTTACAGTCATTCTTATAGCAATTATGGTTGTGGTTGCGGTAAAGAAGTAGAACCTCCATTTTCTTCGTATGGTGGTGGTGGTGTTTGATATCTCCTTGCAATATTCTGCTCATGGAGCCGATCATATTTAGTCACTATAGCGAAGTAAAAATATTGCCAGAGGCGCCAAAAGTGAAGATTAGTATGTCTTTTTATAAATATTCCTAACAGCCCGTCAGCGAAAGTTGCCAAGAAAAAAAAATCTCAAAAATCATATATGGCTGATATCTACCAGGCTTTTCCCAAAATTCTGATTTAAATTCTTTATAGTATTTCAGACCGTTTTTGGTCTTCTTTCCATTATCTTTACCGTCAATATACGCCTTCATACGCTAAATCCAATAGAGAAGAATTAGTCCCAACTTAGATAATCCGTGACGTATATTTTCTAATGGAATGTACGAGACTGAAGGAAGAATTTTCCCACTTATTTTATAGTCACGTTTGAGGCTTTCAAACTTTTCCTTATAATGTGCGCCTGAATAGCTTATCCCAAACCGGATTTTAAATTATGAAATTGAAGTTTTTTCAAATGAATTTATTACATGATAAATCGTATATAATTTTTTTTAAATTAGATGACTTTATTTTTTATTTAAGTGTAGACGTATATTTTAGATAAAGATGAATAAATGCAATCAATGTAAAAATGCTTGTAAAAGAAAGCTTGTCTCTCATCAAAATTCAATTCCATCTTGAAGTAACCCATATCTTGAGTTAATTATTCGAGCGAAACTGAAACATTTCGCCATATCCGAATCCGAAAGTGGTTTCACCCAAAGGTGTGATTTTATGATATTCTGATATTCCAAAATACATCCGAAATAAATCATATATCTGAAGCTCAAATAATAATATTTGATAATAAAAATGTCAAATAAAGCTTTAACAATTTATTTATTATGTAATTATTTATTTAAGGAAAATTTAATGTCAAACAAAAATATCATATTATTAATCAGATTACAGAAAGTTTTCCCAGAAACCAATTTCCCAAATGAAAGTAAAGCAACAAGTGTTCCAGTGAAAAGAATTTTTTCTGGTGGAACTGATCTGGTGACAACCAAGAGATGTAGTCTTAAAATAAATACTATTCATACATGTATGTGTTTGAAATCCTGGTGGGTATGAAGGATATTTTACACTAAAAAAGTAATAACAAAAGAATTTTTTATATAATTTTAATAATTTTCTTTAATAAATAAAAACATAATGAAAATTCGGGTTATATGAGTTAAACTATATCGACCAAAATTTAAAGGTTGGGTTATATGAATACTTGGGTCGAATTTATATATTTCTCAATCCCGACCCGAATCAATCTGTACGGAACCCTAGGGTGGTTTGTTATTAAAATCATGGTTCATATCATATTATTTACTATGTTTCATAACTCAATTTAATAGCAAAAGACCCAATATGGTCAAGTCGATGTCCCAAACTTGACCATATCCCAAATTAACCTAGATTTAGGGCACAGTCGGGTTTAGGATATCCAAACCTGACTATATCCCAAATTGACCAAGGTAGATTTGGAACATGGTCAGGTTTGGAGAATCGAATGTCCCAAACTTGACCATATCTCAAATTGACCTAGGTAGATTTGAAACATGTTCTGGTTTGGTCTTGTATGTCCCAAACTCAACCATGTTCTAAATTGATTTGGGATATGGTCAGGTTTGGGGTATTAAATGTCCCAAACTTAACCATACCCCAGATTCAATTTGGGATATCCCAAGTTAGATTTGGGACAAGATCATCCAAAATCGAAATTCCAGTTTGGGAAGTCCGAAATAGGAATTCCGATTTGGGATATCCCAAGTTTAACTTGGGACAAGGTGACATTTGGGCTACAACAGTTATATCCTTTTTGATATGATTATGAGCCTAATGTTTTTTCTCTCTATTTATTTGTAATATATCAGTTATTATGATTTCAAGTATGCTTCACATAGACCTAACTAGTAAAGTAATTCAATTGTGATGTTTTTTTAAATAATTATAATTTTAAATCGATGATTTTCCCTGCATTTTCATATATAGTATTAAGAAAATCTTTGACATTATTAGTTAAATCTGAAGGAAAATATTTCATAAAATAATTGTAAAGAAAAGCAACACTTGCAACTAATTTTGCTCCCAAAACCCAAACCTTGCTTATTGTTTGTTGTTTGATCGCTTGTAAAACAATCAATGATTAAATTAAATAATCAGCAGCTTTTTCTCTTTAATTTTTTCAGATTAGGCTAAATCAGCCAATCAAGTTTTTTTTTTTGAAATTTTGCTAAATAATCTTGTTTAATCATCTTTAAAATACAAAAATGTATGTTCTTTCGCTCGTCTCTTTAATTATTTATCAAATTTGTAACTTTACAATTAGATGTAATGATCCCGCCTTGATGCAGTTTTGCATCATCCGGCTAATACCTATTAGAAGGTAAGTTGTGTACACATCATTTCATTTATTGGAGATGCACACAAACTTACATGATAACTCTGAAATTGGATATCCGACAGAAAAGATAATGTTTCTCATGGCTACATAGAAAATTTTCTTTCAGTTAATCTGGTATGGACTTTTTAGTTATTTAACGTGAACTGTAATCAAAATTCAAATTCAAATCACTTATACATATTGATTCCCATATGATTTAATGCAGATTTCATTCGGAAATATCATTTTATATTGATACAAAAGATTATGTATGATATCATTATATCACTTTATTTCCGAAAATATATATCAAAGATTTCTGATTAACAAATACAAATATAACATTATAATATTACTATAAATCGCGTTTTTTGTTATTCTGAAACTCTCGAAAGAATGATTAGAGATATTGATAATTGCTTCACATAAAATACATAACCTATTAAAAAACTTATTAATACATTTTAGGTTTAGGTGCTGCTGTTGATTAAAAGAAGTCGTAAAACAAAATAATTACTTTTTGCAATTCAGATTTAACTACGGCATAAGTTGAAGCGGTCCCGTGATCTCCTTCGATATCGGATCCTGTTTCACTCCAATGATCCTTTGCGTGAAATCGTGCTCGTCGGCATAAAATATGAGCGTAATATACAGGAGGAACCTATTCACGATTAGAATTGCAAAGAATGCTATGCAAGAAAAATAAATTGTAAAACATACCAAAGAAACAGCGCGTGTGCAGCGAGCAAAGACATAACATAAGTTATATGAAAGTGCTTGAAGTCTAAAAACGTTTGCATGATTAA